GGTTACACCATATCGTAAATAACTGTATGCCAAAGCGTGCATTATTATTTTTCTAACAGTAAAATGTAAAAAAATTCCACATGAAAGCATGAAACACCTCTTAACCGCTTGCAGAAGTAAATCATTTGCGTACACCACAATAAATCGCTGTCAAAATAAATTCCTAAGTAGTTTACTGAGTTCGCATACTGCAGAGGAATACACTTACATGAAGGGCAGCTAGAAGTATGCAGAACGACGGGAACCCTACCGAAAATTCCGGTATAACTTTTCGCTATCCGGATTATGGAACCGGAAATCTATCTGGATTCTATCTAGACTCTATCTGAAATTCAGGTTTTCAGAAATTATTCCTTTGTTCTCAATCTGGATTTCGGGTTTCCAGAAACAAATTTCCGGTTCCATATTCCGGATAGGGAAAGTTATACCGGATTTTTCGGTAGGGAACTGAGAGTTAAACTTTCTTAAGCGGGTGTTTGAAGCAAACAATCTTAGTATTTGAAGCACTGACTGTAATTAAATTTGAATGAAACCAATTTATCGCAGAAACGACGTCATTTTGTAGCTTTCTATCGGCCGCATAATATCTTGTATCAGATGACACCAGAAGCGTGTAGTCTGCATATTGAAAAACTTTCAGAAATAGCAAAGAAAAAGTCATGGACGTATAAATTAAACAGCAAAAGTGACAAGACCGAGCCTTGCGGCACTATAGCCGTTAGGGAAGTTCTACTACTTTTGCAATTCCTAAAAGTCACAACCTGAGATCGCCCTGAAAAATACCCCTTTTCAGAATCGAAAGAAAAAGGCCCTTAAAAACAAGTCTGTACAAACTACAAAAAAAAAAAAAAAAACATTAATGATCTATGCTGTCAAAAGCTTGCGATACAACAATTTATAAAAAAAGAAAAGGAACATATTATTATCAAATACTGCGTGTAGGCAGTCGCTAAAAGTTTCCTCATTCCGCAACAAATTCGTGTTGGTAAACAGACAATAAACTAAACCGTTCAACGAAACTACTCATCGCTTTTAAAAGATATTTTCCCGGTACCTGCGAAACGCATGATAAAATTGATATCCCGATAACGTCTAAAGCCGTCTACTTTCCCCCCTTTGTAGAGTGGCTTAACAATCACAGCTTTCATTCCTGTCGGCCAATCTCCTGTCTATATAACACCGTTCAACATTTTCATAAAAATATATTTAAGTTTTTTTTTTTTTTTTTTTTTTTTTTTTAATTCCTACGGAGGTTGCGTATCATAATTTCATCAAAACCTGCAAACTTTCTTTCCTTAAAGGAAAGTAAATAATCGCGTAGTTCACCTTCTGACACTGGAGGAAGGAAAGCGGAGGCTTCATTGTATTTGAGTAACGTAATAATACCGACGTCATTTAGACTGGAGCGCCCCGGACGCGCGCGAGCGGAAAAGGCGTTGCATTTATCCAGTTTTTCTCCGTGTGTAACGGCGCAAAAGAGTTCATATCATCAATAGAACGTTTTTTAGCCTACCCATAACTCGGTTAGCGCATTCCCAAGTTTTCGCAGAATCAAAACGATTCTTTACAAATTCTCCTTTAAAATTTCTGCGCTTAGAGAAACAGATTAATGCTGATACCCTGTTTCAGGCAATTTTTAACTCACTCTTTACATTATCTAGCGAACGCTTACATCTTCTCCAGAGAAACAGAAACTCCTTAAACTTCCTAGCCGCTAAAATTTCGGGCGCAATCCATTCGTGGTCATCCTTACGCCTTTTAACGATAACTCTTTTTTTACATGCGGAAGAAAATTACAATAATGATTCTACTACTGTATCGTATAGCATTGCTGCTTCTACAGAGGTTAGAAGATTATTTCAGTCATAGTCGTTAACCTTTATATCATACTGCGGTTGAAGTAATAGTTATTTCAGTGTTCGTAGTATTAGAGTCCTTGCCCTTGTTGCTCGTTGTAAGCTGGCAGGCTATAGCATAATGATCTGCTAGTTTTTCTAATATTATAACCGATTTACAGTGTTATCAAAAATACAAAGATTAATATGGCTAATGCAGGAAAACACAAATTTGCCTCCAAGAATTCTTCTCGAGTAAGGGCCTGAATAACGGTATAAATAATCACACACGATATGTCGCGATGAATCCATGATATTTAGGTTGAAGTCGCCGACAAAACACAAGCGCGTTTGAAAGTCCTTTCAGAAATAAATTCGCATTGCTGGACGGAGGGTGATATATTGTGATCATGTCCATTGCAAAATCTTGGCAGCTAATCTGCAGATAAACATATTCCGCATGCGTCATCACTATCTCAGCCTGAGTTGTACACCAACTACTTTTCAAGTATACGCGCATATTTCTCCTCCCCTTCCAAGCGGTCTAGTAAAGGCGAAACAATTATAACCGGGAATAGAAAATAGTTATCATGTCCTCAGAAGCATTTATTTCCGTTAGAATAAAAGCATCCATAACTGCGTCCAAATCTCGAACAATTACCATAAATTAATCCCAGTACTTTCGGATACTTCTATTATTAACAAGGAAAAAAAAAGGAAAAAACTAAATGACAACTTTGACGTTTTTTTTTTTCAATAATTCAGAAACATAAGAAAAAAAATCCATTCCTTCTATTTAAACGACTGCGTCCAAACCTGCGGCACGGTTTATTGGCAAAATAGGTGACGTCTCGCTCTTCATAAAAATCTTTCCGTTTTTAAACTACAAGGATTTATGCTGCTTTTGCTTCGCCTGCTTTCCGACCATCCATGCAGAACAGCTGTCTGTTTTGCTTCGTGAGGTTTTCATTGAAGAAGAGCGCTGGTGTATCATCGGTTCGTTCAAGAGCACGGTGTTCGCCACGGGCACGAAACCAGATCTTCCAGTCCAAAAGACAATCGGGGTTGATTCTGGCCTAGCTAAAGGCGGTGGACCGCCTGGATATCTCCCTTTTCAAAATCAGATATTTCAGCCTTAGTCACTTAGAATGTTCCTCAGATTTTTATTTGCACGTTTTGGCAACCCTTGTGTTTCTAAGTTCGCAAGGCGACCATATTGGTCAGGGTTGTTGATTTGTTCCTGCATTGCCAAAGTCGTTTCCGCCTGGCCTCTCACAGTTTCACTTCATTCTCCAAGCTGCTTTTCTAGCTCGATACCTTAGTTTCATTTGCTGTCGTGACCGCTAGCACAGTGTTATTGTTAGCCGCTAACCCGTCCACTTTGCTGTCCATCTCCTGCGTGCTTGCATCATTGTATATAATCCCTCTACTACAGGCTTCAGTGTCAGGAACTCATCTACTTTCGCAGAAAGTGTTAGGAGAGAGTATATGCTAGTTTTCATTGCCAACAGCTGGTCAAGTTTTTGAAAAAAGGCTTGCATCTGAACTTCCACAGCTGCTGAGCTGCCTTGCGGCTTGTGAACCTTGAAGCTTGCTCCGCTTTGCGAATCGCTTCTATCATATCTTGCGTGCGACATGTCTTCCATCGCCATTTATCACGCTTTGCCCGCCACATGTCTGTATAGGAAGTTTCGGTAACACCAGCACGAGTCTGGCCCAGGTGATAATTGTTCTTTCACACAGAACACAACATAAATCTGTCCTCGCTGGTGATGTCCGCTAGACATGCTACGCACTCCCTCACACCCAACATCACAATGAACAGCAGTGCAAGTAGAACACTTCAGTCGGTGGCAGATCAAATAGAGCTAGTTTTTAGACATGGTTTTACATGTAATCTCACCTGGCGAAAAAAAAAAAAAAGTACAGGTGCGTGAGATAGGTTGTTCCGAGCGCTTCGCCACCGACTGCGCTCAGTTCTTGGATGATTCCGGCTTATGTATAGTCTTCTCTTGGGTGACCGAACGAGCATGCGCAGAAGTTGGCCCTTTTGGGGCGGCGACCACGAAGCGCGAAGCAAGTCGTCGCCTGTACGCTGATACCGTTTCACGCCGTCACTGTCGAAGCCGGGTACCCCAGGAGTGTCGCAGCATCCCAAAGCAGAAGCTAGCGAAAAAAAGGACAAGAGCGTGAGATAGATTGTTCTGAACGCTTCGCCACCGACTGCCATGAGCTCGTTCCTGCATCCACAACTGATAAAATAAGCTGTCTCTTTGGGCTGTTCCAAAAAAACACATCAAAATTTAAATTGAAAATATGTACACTGCGTCATTTAGTAAGGTTACACTTAGAGTACGCGTGCGTTCTTTGGGAGGACCCTTACACACAAAGGAACACCGAAGAACTTGAAAAAAAAGACCAAAACCAGCAGTAAAATTTATTTGCAATAGATTCCGGCGATTAGACAGTTCATCGCAAATGTTAAACATACTTCAAATCGATTTTCTTCATTTACGTCGAAAACACACGAGACTCAAGTTGTTATACTTGTTTTACCATGAACACCTAAAGGTTGACGTTTCCCCATACCTAACACCTGCTTTACGTCGAGACATGCGATTCAATCACGCTAGATTACTGGAACCATACCGCAGTAACAATAACATTTTTTTCAAAAACTCGTTTTTTTTTCCAAAAACAACAACTGATTGGAATTATTTTTTTTTTTAAAGATCGTTGACAACTCATCACCGGATGACTTTCTTGCCCAGCTACAAGTTTTACGAGCCTGACGGTTTACATTGAACATTTGCTTGCTATTTTTTGTACTAGAGTGTCGTTTCATTGCGTTGAACTTTTTCCTTTTTCATTATGTCCTGTACTAGGTAATATACGTCCACCCCTGCCAAGGCCCCAGCGGGGCCTGCAGTATTGTTAAATAAATAAGAAAATAGTGTTGTGAACATCGCATTTGACCAGAAAACTGAACTGTTTAACATGGTTTCCACGTGACGTCATCCCACTATATGCTGGTGGTCATTGAGATTTGTTCTTTGTGAATCTGCGTAACGCCGGAAAACGTTCCTGTGGTGCCCCCCCCCCCCCCCCCCCCCCCCCCCCCCCTATGTCGTCCCCGAGAAACCTTGCACCGTGCTTTCTATCCAGAGTCAAGATGAAGCCATGCCTCGTCCTCCTGCTCGTGGGCATCGCCCTGAGTTCCACGCTGGCGGCCAACGTTCACGGAGAGCAGGGACATGCGGAGGAACATCGGGTCGTCAGGAGAGGCATCTTAGAGAAGATCTCGAGCGCAGCCAGGAGCCTCCGTGACGAGGCTTCCAGTTTCTTTGAGCGCTCCTGGGGTTAGTGGTTCACGGACATTCTAAGAGCGCTGAACCCATTCGGGAAATATATGGTGACTTTGATCATAAACTCGCTGTGAAATCAGCCGGAAAAAAAATCGGCGTTTGCACTGAACGAGGCTCAACTTTTCACCGAAAGTGTAATATTACATTGGTGAACTTTACCTATCGAAACTCCAAGACCTATCTCCTTTCTAGCAAGAAAATGAAGAAGAAGAAAAAAAGATGAGAACAACAATTTTAAAAATTTTCAACGACGGTAGCAGCCGCAGATGACCAAGCCGCGCCAAAAGCAATGGTTGAGGCTCATACACTGTTGGACAAAATACTCGGTAAAAGTATTTAAGTTAAGTTGCTAAATACCTGCTTCATAAAGTATTTAAAATACTAAACTTACTTTCACTGTAAAGTATCTTGAGTAGAGTACAAATACTTAGACATGTAATTCAAGCACTTTTAAAGACACTTCCGCACTGCGTAATTTGTATTGACGTCAGTGACAAACACAATTATAGAGTTGCGCATATCTGGTTTATTAGAAGGGTTTAATATCAAACAACAGCACAAAACGGCGTAAAAACTGTAGGGTTATTTAATGCAGTCCAACAATAAGGCGCGGTATACAACTGATGAATGTTGCAAAACATTTCGGGGACAAAAAAAAAAAAAAAGGTCGCTTTATTTATAAGGATATTGCTGAATATCACGTCCTGCGGCGCACCTTAGACGCATCATTTCACTACAATCCATATTTCCTCTATGGAGAAAACTTGGGACACGAAAATGAGCGAATGGGTGATAAAGAGAGCCCACATAATAGCCACGGCATTACTCTCACCTTCTTCAAGTAGGATGCGTTCAGAAAGGCACTCAACGTTGGGGGACGTTTTGTTGGCATTTTGAGAGGTCATCATGCTCGTAGTTCGTTTCCCCTCCTGCTCTCTGCTTATCAATGTTCGCTTACAGGCAGTTTTCGCGAAAGCAATAAGTGCCGGACTGACGACATAAACAAGAGAAAAAAAAAAGAAACTTGACGTTTTGCCGTAGCGCGAAAGTGTATTCTTTTTGTGTCCACTTCTCATTGTGTTCTATTTGTTATTTTCTTCACACTGAAGTCTGCACTGTTGTGATGGGTCGCTTCACGTTCTGCGTTGCGCCTCAGTAAAGGCAATCTTTACTTCCGTAAAACCGCCCATTTTGTTTGAGGATGTTTTGGGGGAAACTCTAGGAAACAAAAGGTGCCTTTGGAAGGCAGGGCAAAAACCTTCATTGTACGAACTTTGGGGTGAAATACGAGTCACAATCGGCACAAATGCGATGTTTTCACGAGCTCAATCTAAGTCACCGTAGCTTATTGGAACTAGCAACAGGATTTTGTTGCTCGAAAGAATGCTCATGTTTGCAGGTGCCAGGCCCATGCCACTTCATACCGAAAAACTAAAAAAATGGCGGAATGCCAAAAATGTATGTGAGATAATGAGTACGAGATACTCAGAAATGTAATTAAAATACAGTATCAAATACTTTCAATCAATAGCATTTGCAAATACCAAGGTACTTCAAGAACTTTTTGAAATACAGTATCTTGAGCAGAGTAGTTGAGATAGGCACAAGTCTGGGCTCTTATGCCCGTGTCCCACTAGAGCGACAGAGAGAAACAAAGGAAAGCGACAAGCCTCAAACCCATGCAGCATGCTCGCGACGGTACCTTTGGCAGGCGTTCAGTCGTTCGGTGCTCGTGATGTAAGCACGAGCGATTTCAAGCCTGCCAAAGGTACCCTCGCGTGCATGGTGCTCGTGTTTGAGCGTAGCCTCCTTTATTCTACAAAGCCTTTCAAATCGCGAAAGGCTCTGGTTTGAGGTTTGTCGCTGTCTTCTGTTTCTGTCTGTCGCTCTAGTGGGACACGGGCATTATCGACATTGGCTCTGACCACTGACAGTTTCAGAACGCAAGGCGTGGCGAGTCCAGCGCATCTCATTATCGCTCTGCAGCCAATCAGATTGCGCAGTGGCCGATAAGAACGCCAAAAAACCAATCACAAAGCATGGGGCGTAAATTAACATAATAAGCCCCGCCTTGCATTTCTAACTATTCGCGACTCCAGCAAAACGGACGCCGCCAAGCGGGAAAACCGGGAACCAGCCGATCCAGGTCGCTCCGCGCCCCGCCGCGTCTCTGGTGGCTTTCGCGGACGCGTGTTGTCGGCGCGGCGGCGAGCAATGTAATTTGATGAAGGTCCGAAAATTTCTTAAGTTTGCCTGAGTGTTCATTAGTGTGGTGAAGCCTCAGTAGATTGTTTCTTTCCATCACGTTTTTGAAAGCCCGTTTATTCCACAACACACGATCGCGTGTTTTCAATTTTTTGGATGGGAAGGAATCACGGAAAAACGTTTTGATTTTTCGTCTGTCTCTAATCACAATCAAAGTAACGACTGCTTGGTAACTGATAAGCGGTTTCTTTATAGGGATGTAGAACAGTAGACTGAGGTCGACAGACGAAGTGTTTTACTGGAGGGGACACCAATGTTGCAGACAAGTGAATGGGGAGGTTCGATAGCTGCTTTCCTTGAGTTTGGTTGTGCTGGATTAGCTTCAGGTTAATTTGAGCCACTAACGCCGGCCGGTACGTTGGCTATTCATCTTGGCGGCTTTTCGCCGAAAAAGACCACATTGAAGGAGTTGGGCTAATTTCACAATTACTTGATTCAGAGAACCTGCTCGCTGCACATGATTAATGAGGGAAATTATCTGCTTTCAAAAGGTGGGGGACGCGTCTCGCAAAGATAGAAGCTGTCACGTCATTAGGATCTATCGCGCCTCCAATACTTATAACCCCTGTCGAATCCAGCAGCAATATACGTCTACATTGCACAAATTGACCGGCCACAAAAAAAAAAAAAAAAAAAAAAATTCATCTGTTTAGGATTTTAAGTCAAGTTCAATGCAGAGAGGTCTGAGTGAATCTCCGATGAAGACTCTCCTCAGCTTGTCCGCATTCGTCCATTTCTACTGGCTAGAACCATTTGGCTAAGTTTAAGTAGCATCTCTCTGTCTGTCAAATATACTTTTATTCAGCAGTTCACCCTAATAGTTAGTCAACTATGTTCATATTTCAACCCGAAGAACATACTAATATCGCTTTAGTGGGACCATAGTACGTAATATAATACATAACCGCATATTCATCAAAATGACTTTTCGATTGCTACTAAAACCTGAATTGAAATACGAGTATCAGCTGCTTAGTGAAGTGCCAGCGAGTTGACATGCTCCTTGGCTCAAGAAGCGCTTGCTTAATTTTCGTAATTTTCCTGCAGCCTGTGTTCTTGACCGAGCACACGAGTGCAGCTGTTTCTTGAAACACAGACAGGCACAAAAGCTCAATTTCGCGGACAGGTAAGTCGCATGATCGAGGCATGCGAGTTAGCTAAACATTACTCTTGGTGGAACAATTTTGTAGCCCTCGCCGCTTTCCTTAGATGATGAAAACTAATTAGAGTCTATTACCGTTTCTCCGGAGCCCATAGTTTCGGTTTTGATCGAAGTCTCCGCAGCGAAAGTTTGACATGAAAAGAACAAAAAACACCGGCAAAACAAAACTATGCTCGGCAAGTTTATGCGCACCGGCTAAACTTAACTGTCTCAGTTCAAATACCTATAAAAGTGGGCATTCAACAAAAGAATAATAGTTAAATTGAATGCGCCACCCATTCAGGCGGCCCGGCCGAGCCGACACGACCTGGACTCAGCCGCCATGTTTGTTTGGTGGTGGCGCCCCCTATAGGTCGCTGGAGTCGCGAATAGTTGGCTGGGATATCAAGGAGCATGCTGGACTTGTAGTTACGCGCGCTGCACGTGCTGCAGCAGTAACTTTCTAAGCAAACTTTTCAAACAAATGAACTTCGCACGTGCTCTTTTCCTCACCTTGTTTCAATTCTTTCCTTGGAACTTTCCCTACACTCTAAAAAAATCAGTTTTTGAAAGGTTCTTCGACGCCCCAAGAACTCCTTCAACCCGTGCAGAACTGTCTTGCCTCAAGCACTATCGCTCCTGGGCGCACTAGAAAGGCAACTGAAAGAGAAATACTCTCGCATAAAAAAGAGTTTAAAAAAAAGAACCCTTATGGGTTTTTCATTAAGAACACCTTTATGACGCGCTTAAAATAACTTTTTAGGGTGCAATATATGGACAAGCCGAAGAACCCCTAAGAGTTTTTTTACGACTAGATTTTTTTTTAGAGTGTATAGGAAAATAGAGCACATGCAGCCGTGTACCCACAAACCTGGCATCTCCTTGGTGTCTCAATCTCTTAGCAAGAAGGACTGTTCAGAAACGCCGTGATGGCGGCACTCGGCACTCGAGCAAATGGACCTTTTTCAAGCTCTATGCGTGCCCGAGCTCTGCTCCCACCGAACGGTTGAGTTTCAGATGTACAAAGGTGGGAACGGAGAAGTACTAACACCATTGCATTCTTAGTGTACGACGCTATCAAAGCTATAAACTGACCCGAGCGCGTGGCTTCATCTTGTATCTCATTTCTCTGGAAGCTTTCCTAAATGAAGTATATCAGAACACCTTAATCTTTTCCGAAAAGTTTTAAGGCGTCAAAACCTTAAAAACACAGACGCTACTCTGAGGTGTAATAGGCGTACCATGGCGCTGTGACACAAGTTAGACAAAGATAAAATTGGGAGGTGTCCCAATATTTTGACATGTGTAAGTTGCTTCACGGATTCAAGATTGTCCCCTCTTCTTTAAAATACAAATTTTGTATCAGACCTAAATTTATTTTATTTCGGGAGACCGCGAAATTTCTGCCAAGTGCTTCAGTAATTCACATACATGCCTATTTTATAACACATGCGATCATAAATAACGTTCGTTTTCACGCTTGACTGGTTTTGCAGCTGGACTTAAAGGCGCCCTCACTGAGTTCCTGAACTGGATGCGCGGGATATCCCCGCCGGTAAGTTCGACTCCCTTTGAAAATAGCAGTAACGAACGTTCCTACCAAAGATTTTTCTGCTTCTTAACATCAGGCTGCTAGAACTTGCTTTCATTTCAACATGAAACCCATTGCAGAAAGACGATCACGCCAACAGACCTCCTCCTGTACTTCCGCCAGCGGATCTACCAGAAGGGCCACACCAGTATTATCCAGGATGGGAGCCTACGAACGTCGGAGACTCCAAGGACCCGCCGACAGTCCACCCAAGCCGCTACAGCCCATCTGCGACGTCATCCGCGAACGCGGGCGACAGCCATTCGACCCCCGAAACCACGCGCCAAGAGACGACCACATCGACTGACGCGTCCGGAGTGATCTCGCACCGTGCTGGTTCGCCGAATACCGAAGACACGTCATCAGCAACGCAGACTCCATCTCTCGCGACATCCACGAGTCCGGAAGCGACAAAGACAGTCGGGCCAAGCGAGGCCAGCACAGAACCCAGAGTTGAGTCAACAACCGAAAGGGTGGTTAGCACAAGTGGCGAAGTGGTCGTGACCGCCGGCGCCACCTCGACGTCCACGGAGACGGTGTCGAAGTCGACGGCTGCGGAGGACCGTGGCCCGACAGCCAAGGTGGACTCGTCAACGCCGGCGATCCTTGCCACCCGGGACCCCAAGCTACCCGACGAAGTGGACGAGTCTGAAAACGACATTGACCTGCCTCCTCCCAGGCCTCCAGCTCAGCCGAAACGCACCAACGGGGGAGGTTACGTCATTTCGGATGCGCGCTAGAGTGTTCTTACGGAGTAATCAATTACGCGTCGAAGGCGCTTCTGAAGGTCAATTGAGGGCAAACAATCTCACCACGCACAAGGTCTTTCAGTTGCTCTTTTTTTTTTTTTTTCTTTTTACATACAAGTGATATTATTGTTGTTTTTGACGGACCTGGGAGGAGCTTCTACAGTGTCTGAATTTCTGGTCTAAATCAATATCAGAACACGGCGTTCCACGCTTTTACACACATATCGTCAAGGGACAACACAATCTTGACGACGCCTTCGACACCTGCCAATGAAAAGCTAACACACAAAAAACAAAGAATTACAGAAACAATTAGGCGTGGAAAATAGTTATCTTGTTGGGTACCATGTATTTCTACCAAATTCTTATTTCTTTAAGGTGGATGGATAGGAGTGGAAAAGAGTTCCGTCGTGCGAGATTTAACTGGCAAGCATCGCTTTGGCCACGACGGAACGTTTTGGATGACATTTGTGTTATGATCTGCAAGGGGAAGCACCGCCTCCTGCATACGAGCTTTGCCTTCAGTTGTGCTTGGCTGCGCGTGCGCCGGAGTGTTGTCGAAAGTATAAAGAGCTCGCGTTGGAGGAGGAACTTTCGCTTGCAGATCGTATATTGCAGCAGACTAGGACAGTGAATGTATCGAGTGAAATGACAGAACCCAATGCTCAACACTGATCGTGTGACAGCGTGCAGTTTTCTTTCTAAAATATGCGTGCAATAAAGCAAAGAAAAAAAAAGATTTATCGTCAATGTTCGAATTGTTGTTTGCTATTCAGTTACGCAGCTACGGGAACAGATGAAAACTCGGAACTTGCCGAAACGAAAAGCGTATAGAATATATACACACATTACGGGATGTCTAAGCTGAAAGGTTGCTACAGCTGGACTAAAAGTGGCAAAGTTCAAGAATTTGTAATCAAAGAAATTGCTGCTTTGTTACGAAAGACACGGTGTTTCCTGCAGACAAGATGACAAACACAACTGCGGACACGATTCACGCATGTTCAAAGCATGCATACTTCATGCATATGTATACGCTACAAACAAGTCTGCAGACAATTTTTAATGACCAATGTGAGAGAACCGTCGTACGAGGTAGAAGCACGACTCGGACAGTGTCTCGAGACTGTCTTTCGTGTGATGTATTAAGTCGGGGTCATACCGCTCACACATCGTACGAAAGACAGCGTGCAAACACGAGACACCGCAATATCCGTGGTTCGAATGCCGCGTGCCCCAGACTCCTCTTCGAACTCATTGCCACGCGGCATTTGAAGCACGGATCTCGCGGCTACTCGAGTCCGAACCTGCATGCAGGCTGTCTTTAGTATGATGTATACAAGCAGTGTGACCCCAACTTAAGCACTGTAACCACGGCTTTGCGAATGCGGTTTTCTTAACTTTTAGTTAAGGCCGTTGTTGTCTATTTTATAGAATTAGAAAAGCACACCCGAAGTATCAGATCCCGTTTGGAGCACGGGACATGAGAAGGCGACACGTGCTGAAAGTTCGTAACCGGAGCGCACTCTCTCTCTCCACTTTCTTTTCTCCGTTCCTGTCTCCCCTTTTCCTTCTGTCCTTCCAGTGACCTACGACAAACAATACGTGCTTTCCGGGAATAGGAAAGCACGTAGGGGCAAAATGTGCAACGGAGGAGAAAAAAAGCTCGCGGAATACAAGTTTCCGCAAAGACATCAAATTGCTGAAACCCCTCTTCTAGCGCGTCGAATACTGCGTCAAAGACGAGTTGAAAACGTGGTTTCCTCGTGTCTATTACCGTCAACTTTTGCCGGCTCATATAAACTTCGCAATTTTCACAAATTGTCAAATACGCAAGCAGAAACTCACGAACCTTGGGAATGGCTGTATGTGCCCACTGTGGTTGTGATTGGGGGAACAATATATGGGCCGTAAAAGCGCTCCGCAAATTCCTTGAATATAAACGTACAGTTGAGGTAGTAACTTTCTAAGCATATCTGAATAAAATTCATCAAAACACGCAGGTTGAAGTTGTCACTTGGATTTGCAACTTCATGGTCTCATTAAAACACAAGACATGATTGTGCGATACTTTCTGTGATTGCGCAGATGTGACGAGGCATCACGTATGTGAATCCGCATTTTAAAAGGCGTTTGAGATCTGAGCAACATTGTGCTCCTAGGCGTGGCTGAAATGATAAGGATAGAACGTCTTCAACATTGGTAACGTTATTTCCTTGGGGGTCTTGCGCGCGGTAGGTCGATATTTCCCAGCCAGCTCTTTACGCTGCATCCAACGTCCGAAGGCCCCGAGAAACTTCTCCATGTATAGTCCCATGGAAAACGAAAACGTCCTTACTGTACACCACGTCATGGTCGACCGGTCGTGTCTTTGAGGTAGACTGAAGATACGGTCCCACCGATTGTGCCAGCTGGTTCGATTATAGTCCACAAGGTATTAAACAGAGGGTGAAAAAGTTTTTGAATTTGGTTCAATGTGTCAACTAGTGTCAACCGTTATATAAAAAACAGCCACACAACCAACCGCTAAAAATAAACCGTAAAAAAAAAAAAAAAAAAAGGAAAAAGAGAGACGGTTTGTGCAGCCAGTTGATTCTTTCTGAGTTAGCCGAGCCCGCGAACCTGGCATGGACCTTGCCGGACCAGGAAAAAGCAACAATAGCACTGATATACAACATAAACCAGATTTGCGGACTTGTCCCCGGACACGTTCGTGTGGTCCGCGGATCATCTCTTGAGTGTGCATGCTTTTTTCGAATGGAACATGGCAGATTCTGAACCACAGGAATGGTGACGTCACTGATTTCGTATGAGTTTGTCCGGGGACAAGTCCGCCGTGTGAATACACTTTGAACAACCCAAAAATAGGATTCAACCTATCTTAGCAGCCATCAGAAATACGACTTGTAACAATCGCCACCAGCAGTTTTATGCACACACAGAAAAAGACAGTGCTCGTATGCGCAGTAAATTACACACGAGAGAGGGATCGTGCGGCTCTGCTGACTACTCCACCGCTTTATACTATATTTGACAATCCAAAGACACACGTTCGCAGGTGACTTTCTCTGCACTTACGAAGGTTACAAGTAGGGTGTGCATTTTCCGGTTTTAACCGAAAAACACCGATAAACATCCGTCGGTGACGAAAATACAAAATCGGTTAAAACCGAAAAACACCGGTGGTTGGATATTTTCGCCCTGGTAAAAACCGAAAAACACCGGTCGTTGCACGTTTCCGACCTAGCAAAACCCTTTCCCCGTAGAGGTTCGTCAAACGTGTTATCCTGTGGTTCCTGCATTCTTCCGGTGTCTATACATAGCTTGCACGTAACGTCAGTCCGCCCTCCTTTCTGGGGGTCAAAAACGTCTCCTTTCCCCATTGTGTCTCCCATGGCCCCTTTTTGTGGAAAAATTAACGCAGTGGGGGTACGCTCTCATGTGCCCTTTCCCCATTGTGCCTGGCCAAGTAATGTCGGTGCAAGCCATGTATTCAGAGGTTGCTGTGGTTCCTGGAAGACACTGCCAACATCCGTGTCGTACAGGGCTACTGACCTTTCAGAACCTTGTTATCTGTTCAGTTTCCATGGGCTTTTGGGGAAAAGGAAAAAGGGTTTTGTTGGCGTGGGGGTTTTTCGCTGTATATAAAACGACCGTTCTGTAGAAACATTTGCAGACGTGTTTGAGGAGGCCCGTCCGTCCCGCGCCTGCGGGTTTTCTCAACGTGAGACTTGCTTCCCTTCGTCGAACACTTCAAGTATCATCGTCACGCGGAGTAGAAGGCCACCAGACGGGAAGCAAGCGGAAAGCTCCGGATGACTACGCTACAGATTTCATAGATTAATCGTCGTTCTGGTTCCGCGTGCAAATTGTTAATCCGTGCATAAAAGTGGAGCTGCCAGTGGGATGTGTGCCTTGTGAAAGTATCTATCGGCTGGTTCTCCGAGACGAGCGCAAGCTGAGTGACCTAGAATCAGAGTTCCTTTGTTACCGCAAGTATGCTGTGACTAGCACCGTTGATCCAGTGTTATTTAGGAAACTTCATTTACCTGACTGCCACTACTGTCCCAAGCCTCGCTGGACATTTTGGGATTTCCTGTGTCCAGCGCAGATGTGGAGCGTACGTTTTCAAAATTGCGGGTTGTGAACCGCAAGGAACGTGTTGCCATGACGGATGCAAGCCTCTCGAAATGTGCTTGCATGTACTATAATAACCGAGTGTGAGAAATAGATGCTTCCTCGAGAAGAAGTGTATGAAATATATGAATAAAATTGGAATTCTCTGTCTGTGATCAATCGCATTTTTTTTCCACCGATAATCACCGATTTTAGCATCGTTGTGAGACGTTCCACCGAAATACACCGGTGTTTCGAAAATAAATAAACACCGAAAAACATTCGCCGATTTTTTTCGCAAATAAACACCGGAAAGTACACACCCTAGTTACAAGTGTGTTGCTTTGTTTTCTTCGATATTTAACGAAAACGCATGATATATCCCAGTTGAAGGAACGTATCTCCAAGTAAACTTAATTGGTGAGGGCAAACATAATTTTACATGGTCGCTTAAACAACCTTCGCTATGGTTGTCCTTGTAGGGCATACATTTTTAGGTAAAAAAAATTATTTTGGGTTTGATGGTGTTTTATTCTTTTTTGGATCTTCATATCTTAGTATAAAGAAATAAGTGACGGTTATGATCACGAAATTAGTCAAATACGCAATTTGACTGCCCTCCCCCCCCCCCCCCCCCCCCCCCAACACACACACACACCCCAGAACGGCATAAATCTGAGCCATTTTCTACGCGTGGTTCTTCAGATTGTTACGTCGCCCGCCATCACATTTACGTTCAAAGGCTGGCCTAGCCACCTCTCCTCCATCACAGCCTTCTGGAGCTTCAATTTTTCGCGGGAAATTATTAACAAAAGATTATCTTTACCACCACGGGAAAGTACCGTCTGCTACACTGGTAACATTCTTATACGTTTTTCTCTTTATGTAATTTCGGAACATCTTCACAGTTTGCGCACAATAATTTTTGGTCTTAATATTGTCCTATATCAAAACCAAATTTTGCATGCATATACTTCAGATTTAGAATATCTTAAATGCAGCCATCTAGGCTTGGTTAAATGCATCATATTGAGGAGTTTCAGCGACGATGTCACCGCCCAGGCGGCCGGTCGCCGAAAGAGAAAGAGGGGGATAGGTTCGCTGGGCGTTGGCTTTGTGTAAATGCGTTGGCCGCAAACGTAGGCTTATAAACTTCGGCAGCA